CCCTTCCCCCTTCCCTTCCCCCTCTTTTTTTTTTTTAAAATCTAATTGTTCCTGTGTTGGAAATTATTATAAAAAATGTGGAACTTCCAGACAAGATTAGTTCAGTGTTGTTTCTGCTGATTTAGCCAAAAGGAGTCTCTCTTATGAGGGTCTTCTGTGTGGTGTGACTGAAATACTGATCTGATTCCATGTTGACTGGCCTTCTGTAGGCCAAGATTCCTTTGGCTAGGCCTTTTTGCTGGCTAACATGGTCTTGAATTGTCAGCTTGATCTACAAGCTTAGCTTAGATAAAGCACAAGATATTCTCAATAGCATTCCTCAAGGGATGTGGGATGGCATGTCTCAGAAGGAGGCACTGGGGACAGAGGATGTCCAGCATAACTTCTAAAGAGACAAAATGCAGCAGAGTTACCTTCTCACATAAAATGATGGCTTCTGTGCTCATGACAGCCACTGAAGAGCATGATTTTGGGATTCTGAGTGAGACATCCATGAGAACATGGATCAGTAGCACTAAAAAATGCAAATCAAGTGATAGGATTGTGTAAGAAAGGCATAAAGAACAAAACAATCCCCAGACTTATAACACTGTATAAATGTTTCATCTTTCACGCGCACATGAAATAAATAGGAAAAAAAAAGAGAAAAAATACAGAAAGGATGCTAAGCTAAGAACAAGAGAATGCATGGAGAGTGCTTAATATGTCTATCTTTGAGGGACAGCAATAGCTGTATTCAGCAACAGGTTTTTTTGTATTGGAAAATCCCAGTTCTTTACTTGATTTTAAACTTGTGAGTTTTTCCTCCCATTTTTGTCAAGAACATAGAATATACACCATTGGCTACTGTGTCTCTGCCTGACCTGTGGTAATTGGTTAATTCTCTCTGCTGCCTAGATCTTCTTAAGCATGACTGTTGGCCATGAGTCTTTTCTAATCAATTTTCATCCACTTGACAACTATGTGAGCCAATTTGCAGCTCCAATAAGCAGCTAGAGCCTATAGGGCCTACACCATTCTATACCAGCCGAATTTCCACCTAATGAGTTATTGCACTGTATTGGGAGTTGTTCAGTTAAATGCTTTAAAAGCCTTGTTTGGCATCACTTAAAGGGTTGTATAGATAGAGTAGAAAGGAATGAGCTCTGTATTGCTATGAAATAACCTTTTATCCTCTTCTTGTGTCCTGGGGTTTAAATAGTATAGGCATCTGCTATTGAGCATAGTTTCAACGTAATTGTTTTTCTCACAAGAGTAAGCACTAGGATTTTTAGCAATTATTTCTAAGATCAGTACCTATGATTCTGGCAGCTGATGATGGCTACCATTGCAGTTACATTTCCAGGCCAGTCTCTGTGTAAGTTTTCAGATGGCCATAGTATTCTGTAAGCAGGATTTCTGCCTGCAGTTTGTTGCTCTTAAGCTTTTTGAAAGTTCATCTTTGTGTGATTACTTTTTGCTTCTTCCAAAACCACTCCTCTGGATAAGAAAGTCTTGTCTTCTAGTACCTGAAGTATCTGGTCTTTTACTTAGAGATAACTTCATTCAGTCAAGGAATGGAAGCAATACTCAGGAACTGAAGTGACTGATCAATGTAAACCAGCATTGCTCAGCAGTAATTTGATGCCCAGCTAGTCAGTGTTCCATATGAACCGTGAGCCTGCTGAGGCTACAGTTCAGCAAATATGTTAAGCTGGTGGTGCTGCTGAAATAAGTGCTCCCACTCTGCTCTTGTTCCTGATCTTTCACAATCCCAGCTAGAAAATATTTTTGTGTTGCGCCTGGGCCTTAAGGCTGCACTCAAAACTAAGACTAGAACAACAGCAGTGTTGTGGAGTGTGAACAGACTGGCAGAACTGGGTAAGGACAGATTTTGGTTTGGGTGAGCTCTGCTTGTTGGGATGGGCAAAATGAGAGTTCTAACCCTCTGATTTGGAGGATTGAACTGGTATTGTAATGCTCCTAGTACATTTTACATCCCTTAAAATGCATACTGAAAAAAAAATTTAAGAGCTTTTATATCTTCAGGTCAGCAGTGCCTTCCCTAATATGAAGTGAACTAATTTTAGTCTACTTAACTTTTGCTCTATCATCTTAATTTGCTTGGTTAGCCAGGGAGAAGCAGGTGGAACTTCTTTACATACCAGAAACCACTGTCATCTGCTGTTATCTGTTTCACAGGGAAGGTGTATCTTGGTATATACTTTGGAGAGTGAATATAAAAGTGAATAAAAAAGCTCTAATTCACACTCCTTGGCAGATTTAGCTGAGATGGCAGAAAGGTTACAGCTTGTTGATATTACTGGGGATGGGAAGGTTTATCAGTTACCAGATTTAAATCTACCAGTTTTTAGGCAGAATTCTCAATCTCTCTGTGTAGGCCTTGTCAGTGTGGGAAATTGTCAAGTAACAGTTGTGAATATCAACTAAGTGAATATCAGCTAATCTGCCCTGTAAACATATTTTTATGGTTTGTCCCGGTATGTTTTTTAACTGGATGAAATTCAGTCATAGAGTGGAATGGCTTTGGTTTTGTGTAATGTAGTTATTTATGTCTGAACACAGAGCAGTGGAAGAGCACCATATGTGTTTTATTAATATGTTGGCTTTGATGGAAAAGCTTCCCTATTGAACTAACCTATAAGACTTGAATTGCAAACCTCAAACCCACGATGCCTCAGTTACTTATTTATAATACTTTCTGTTCTCTTTTCTTTCATCCCAGTTAGAGCAGCAATGTACAGAACTTCTCAGTGGCAAAGAAAGAACTAAGGTAGAGAACACCAAGCTGAAGCTGACTAACCAGGAGCTGCTGAGAGACCTGGAGAAAACGTCTCATGAGCTAAGCCTGGCTCAACAACAGTTACAGGTGCTTCAGGAGGAGGCATCAAGACTACATGAGGAGAAGGAAATGTAAGTCTCTAGCTACAGTGGTTCTAGTGTATTTGCATCACATGCCAGTGAGCCTCCTTCTCAGGGTATTCAGTGCTGTGATTTAAGTTGGTGTCATAAGCAGAAACCACCAGCAAAGCCAAGTGGAGTTCTAGTCAGTTTTCTCCAAGTAGTTCAGCATGTTTTCTGTAGCATATCTGGCTTCTACAGAATCTTTTGCAACTTCTTCAAAATGTCAGTGTTCTCCCACCCTCCACCCCCATTTGTTGAGAGTGTTTGGAATTATAAATCAATTTAATTGGTTTAAAAGTATGCATTAGTTTTGAAATACCAGTGGGATTCCTTACAGAAATTACAGTTGTGGCACATGATGCTCCTCAAAGCTAAGTCTGTCTGAAACTTGCTTCTCAGAATGTACTCTGGCTATGAGACGGCTAGGATGTGCCTCTTTTCTTCATCAAAAGCAAGTCTAGTACATCATTTCTGACCAAGAAGCCTGGCCAGCAAGATAAAACATATCTTATGCAGCTAAATCACAGTTCACACAAGGCCTTACGGTGATCCAGAACCATCATTTTGGGTTTTCCAGTTCTAATGTTTTGGATGTCAGATTCTGACTCTGAATTAAAAAATATTTTTCAAGAAGAAATATTTACAATTCATATTTTGAGGGATAGAAATGTCCTTTAAGTGACAAATTAATCTACCTGTCTTGCTCCAGCCTTCTGCACAAAGCAAAAGTTACCAATTACCCTGATGCTGTAATTGGCAGAAATGTTCACTGAAGACCATTTAATGCAAGACAGTTTAAAAAAAAAAGCTCAGGGATCTGTAAAACCCTCTTGTTGCCAATGGAGAGAGCACATGGATGCCAGACTGTGGTGCATATCTTGCCAGACTCTATACATTTCAGCAGTAAACTACATAACTCAGAGCTGTGGCTATTTGGCATATTTCAGGATACAGCAGAATATTAGATCTAATGTCATATTCTTTTTCTGTTAAGCTTCGTGCCAAACTCTACTTACGTATTACTAATTTAATTTTTCTTGAAGGTATAAATAATGATCTTTGCTGATAAATGATTGTTAGAGAACAGCCACTGTGTTTAGAATACTAATGTTAGGTTTATATATTTGATGTGTGTTTTGGAAGTAGGCAGTAGAAATATTCCTCCTCAAGGTGGTTTGTTTCTGGATTTCAGATCCAGAGCAAAGACTGTGGAATGAAAGCTACAGAGAAAATCTGCCCAGTGGTCAGACTGCTGAATAATACTACTAGATTTACAAAGCACTTTGGATTCAATAATGTTTTATGGAATTAGAGCTCAGCCCTACTCATCTGCATCTGCAGTGTTGCTTTAAACATCTGTATCAGTCTGGTAAGAACTGAGCTGTTGAAGCAGGTATAATGTTCAGACTGTGCACAGGAAGAACTTGAGGCTTCACTGAAAGGCAAAAAACATTTAAGGCCAGATACCAAGCTGCATCAAGTCAAAGTCAATGCTGTAAACCTAGTGTAAAAATTTGCTTCGTCCAGTGTTTAAGGCTGCATAACTGTTAAAATCAGGAACTGAAAAGAAATTGTAGGGAATGTAGATGTGTGAGCCTCACATATGGTTCCAGCAGCAAGGTAGACTCTAATTCTGAATAAAACGTTACATGGTCTTTAGTGGCCACAAGTGAGGATTTCAGCAGTATGTCTTCTCTGAATGATGCAAGTGCCAGTATCAGCATATATTAAGTTCTCTGGATGAAGAAATGATAAAGCTGTGATTTTTTAAAAAAGAACCTCTACTCCTTCCTCTGCTAACTCAAACTGCGGGCTTTATACCGAATAAACTTTTTTAAAATTAGTAGCCATTCATGCAGAATAAAGTCTACAGGTTTGGAGAAGCTGAAGTCTCAAATGTGGATACACTTAGGGAGAAGCATTTTAGCAGTGTTGTTACCATGGTTAGAACAATTTTGCTTATTTCTTTTCATTACAGGGAGGTGTACCGAGTGACAGAAACCTTACAGAGAGAGAAGTCAGGACTTCTGAAGCAGCTGGATTTTTTAAGGTAATGCAGACCATACATTCAAGAACTTCTTGCATTATTCTAAAGATAATTTCATCTAATGGATGAAATTATGTTGGGAAATGTACTGGGTGTAGGTGTCAAGGTGTTGGCAGTGGGGTGCCACAGGGGTGGCCCCTGTGCCAGAGGGGAGAGGCCTAGGCTGCTCAGTGCCGGGCACAGCCGGTTCCAACCAACTCCAGTGGATCCACTGCAGGACACAGCTGAGACCCTCAGCCAAGGTGGTGGCACCTCTGGGAAAGCATGTGTAAGAAAGGGTAGAAAACACTGTGCAGCAGTTGAGAGAGAGGAGTAAGAAAAAAATATGTGAGAAACAGCCCTACAGACACCAAGGTTGGTGAAGAAGGAGAAGGAGGAGGTGCTCCAGGCGCTGGAGCAGAGATTCCCCTGCAGCCAAATGCAGAGCCCATTCAGGAGCAGGTTTTCTGGCAGGAGCTATGGCCCCCAGGGGACCCACACTGGAGCAACCCATTCCTGAAGGACTGTTCCCCATAGAAAGGATCCACGCTGGAGCAGTTTGTGAAGGAATACAGCCTGTGGGAGGGAACCCACACTGGAGCAAGGGAAAAAATGTGAGGAGGAAGGAACAGCAGAGAGGAGCTATTGTGAACTGACTACCTCTCCACCCCACATTCCCCACCCCTCTGCACCACTCTGGGTTTGGGAGGTAGAAGAGTCAAGAGTGCAGCAATGAAGTTGAGCCTGGGAAGAAGAAGGGGTGGAGAGAAAGTGATTTTAGTTATGGCTTTGTTTCTCATCATCCTACAGCTGAGTCTGTTTTGTCTGTGACGGTAGTTGGTAAGCAATCTTCCTGTCTTTATTTTGACCCACAAGCTTTTCCATTTTACTTTCTTCCCCTGTCCTGTTGAGGAGGGGGAGTGTGAGAGTGTCTGGAGTGCATCTGGCAGCCAGCCAAGGTCAACCTGCCACAGGGTGATGACACAGAAGATAGCAAAAATGGTTACAAAAGACAATATGTCTTTTGTCAGCCCCGTTCTTGCACACAGTAGAAGGCAGTACACATGAAAGATTTGCTTTGTTTTGTCAGTTTGGTATTGTAGGACAATATCTGCTCCAAAAGTCAAATGTAAAACAAAAAAATGGTGAACTGTTCTAAGCTGGTTATGTGGTAGAAGCCTGGCCACAGGAGACTTGAAGCTTACTAAAAGACTGTTGTTTCTAAAGTGATGGGAGTAGAGCCAAAACAAAGATTCTTTCCCCAAAATGTTTATTTGTAGATTATATCAAAATATAGTTAGAAAATTTTCTCTGTAACATTTCTGTATTGATAGACTTCAAAGTTTAGAGTTGTGTTCACAGTTGTAACCCTCTTTTTAATGTGCAGCAATGTTAGGTTTTGTTTGCTCAAAGGTAAGTTTGCATGGGCTATAGATTGTACTTGCCCGTAGGCCTTCATTCACTGCATTTCCTTCAGGAGGCCTCATTTTAAAATTACCTAAAAAGCTCCCGTGCTTGAGGAAAGGCTCTTACTTTGCAGTGTGTTTCCCATAGGCCACTCCATGTGGTGTGATCTTGCCTGCTGCTGGTAATGGGGCCACAGATAGAAACATCTGGCAGCAGAGGTTGTTTCTCTTCACGAAGGCTGTAATGGCTGCTTAGTCTTTTTTGTGGCCAGGCCAGCAATAGATGGAGACAATGAATAATGTACTAAGCAGGTGTGTTGTCAGATCTGATCAGAGCTGGCTGATTGCCTGGAGTCTCAGTTTCTTGACATTTTCATCTCTTCTGCATAATGAATGGAAGGTGGATGTTTTCCTAGGGAGAGTTTTCCATGGCAACCACAACTGTAGCCGTCAGAGGGACATAACTGGCCTTCACAGCTGTCATCAGATGAATAGAAATGGTGTTCATTACACTCTCTCCATATTAAGAAGTCACCTTTACTGTGAAAAGTTTTAAACGTTCTAATTTAGAGTAAGTGAAGGCATATTGACCAGAACTGATTTCTATGTGTTAAGGCATTTGTTTTGATAAACTACAGAATGAGGGCCAGATGCCAGCTGACTTTAGTCAGCATTGCCCTACTGGAGATTCAGTGGCCCAGACAGGGAACTGGCTGTGGTGAGAGTATAAATAAAGCATGGTGCAGGGTGGAGATACAACAAATTGAAGAGCATTTCTCTTGCCTTTTACACTGCCAACTGTCCAGTCTGTCTGTTAGCGTTGAGTAGAAAAATCAGCAGTTTGGCCTCAGTGTTACTTTTATTTGTGTTCTCTTTGCAGGGAGAGGAACAAATATCTCAAAGATGAACATGACATATTTTTACAGGTAAACAACTGTTATTTTCAGACCCAATGTTGAGCAAACACATATCAGAACAGCTTCAAAGGGGATCAGAAGGCTTTGCAGGAGACAGACTCTTACACTACTTAAATCTTGCCCCATTCTTAATGTATATAATCTTTTTTTCTGACTTGAGAATAAGATTTTTGAATTTGTTGAACAATTTTAAGAGCTACATTTTTAGAATTGTGAAATGGGAGTTATCTTGAGGGAGACAGATGTATTTTATAAGAAGATAAGGATGCAATCATGAGAGGACGAAATAACCTAAAAATCAAACAATTAAATTGTGTTAATCTTTTCAGTCAGGAGTAGCTAATATCCTGAAATATTTATACAACTGTACAGTATCTGAGTACCTGAATACTTGTCGCTACTGGGTAAGACATTAACTTTTTATCAAGCAGCAGAGAATGGGCCCCTGAGAAGTTCCAGAAGTACCCTGGCTTAAGGAGACTAAGGCCACTTAGTTTACACGTGTTTGTGTTCTTACTCCTACAAGAAGCTGCTAGTGTAAATCGCCATGTATCTACTGTCTTCTTTTCATGACATGCTGTTTTATTGTCATCTACTTAGTTTACAAAGAAGGTGAATTCTTGCAGGATCTGGAGTTTCCATGTTCTGATTGTTTATCAATCAGAATTTTGAAGCATTTATACCTCTAGGATTTTTTCTATAATTTTTTCTTTCATATTCATTGCATTATTTAAGCATTAGGAATTAAGGCAGTTAACCATAATGAATAACAGGAGGAAATTAGTAAAAAGTATTCTGTATTTCTGCAGAAGTGCAAAACAAGTATTCCAAAAGCCAGCAGGAAGCAAAGATCAGGGTCTATCATTGGGAAATACATGGAGGGCAAGATGCTGCCTAAAAGGTAAGAACTTATTTTGATGTGTTCCCTGTTTGAGTACGATGAGGCTTAGAGAAAGATGTGGAATGTTTTCTTTCTGATACCTTTGGACTTTTCAAAGCATGTATTTCTAAAGTGTTTGTCAGTATAAGATTACTGTGCGCTTTAAGAAACAAAGAAATAAAGGGGCGTAAACAAGTATACTGTCTGCAAAGGCAAGGGACTTCCCCACTGTGGATGAGTATATGCTGGGAGACAGAAAAGTTTGACCATTACCCAATGCTGATGTGGTACAATGTTCTTGGAAACTCCCTGAAAGAGTATACCTCCTCCTTTGTAGAGGACAGCAGTCCTGTTGTAAAGTGTGGAACTAGTAAAACGTGGAGAATTTAATTCTCAACTGTGTGGCTGTAAACTTGAAATCAACAGGAACAAGATGGTGATCTCAGTAAAACACTGGCATGTTTCCTTTGAGACAAGAGGAGCTGGAAAGGAGACTAGTATTTCACTTTGCAATAGCAGCTAAGACAATTTCCCTGCAGGCACAGGGTCATGAAGTGTAAGGAAGGAAAGCTTTCAGAGACACAGTTTAGTAAGTTCTATACTGAGAAGTGGAGCATAATTGGCAAAAGCAATTATGGCACAAAAATCGTAGAAAAATTTAGGTGGGGAGGACCTCTGATGTCTCTAGTCCAATCTCCTTCTCAAACAGGGATAACTCCAAAACTAGATAAGGTTGCTCAGGGCATTGTTCCATTGAATTTTTCAACACCTGGATGGAGGTCCCACAGCCTCTTTGGGCACCTGTTCCCTTGCTGCACCAGTCTCATGAAGAAATTTTGTTCTCTGTATCAAGTCAGCATTTCTCTTATTGCAGCTTGTGTCTGTGGTCATTGCACACATCTGAGAAGACTCTGGATCTATTTTATCTACACTCCCCCTTTTGTTGAAGCCCTGCTTAGCCTTTTTTCATCCATATTAAACAAACTCATCTCCCTCCTACCCGCTAAAGAGAGAATTAGATTGCACATAGAAAGGGTCTGAGTTGGGGGGGAGGAGAGGAGTAGGAAATCACAGTAAAGAAATTCACTTTAGCTATTCCATGAGGTTAGAAATTAGGCTAATCTTATGTTTTGTATTCTGGTTCAGGACTTCCCCATAAGTTATTAGCTTTCCCCATGATGCTTATAATTATCAAGCATACTATATATATACACACATTGTAGGATGAGCTGACTTTTCAGGAAATATTGGACTGAATCTACTGTGCATGCTGTGAGTAGTAAAAACCACGGGACATTAAATTCAGTTACACTAGAATAAAACAACAGGAATCCAGATGCAATATATTTTTGTGATATACTTATTTTTTTTTCTGTCTAGCCATTCATTTGAAGAAGACGATGTTTTCAATAATAAAAGAAGGAATTCTGCTGGACTGAATGGAATTCTCTCTGTAGAGCTTGATGCTGGAGCCACTGGAGGAATGTCTAAAGCATTGCATCTCCAGAGAATAATATCAATTGAGGAAGATCACTTACCCCAGCTTCTTGACAGGCTTGTTGATAAGCAGCTGAACAGATGGACGGGAGAAGATGAGAATACTTCTTCTGAGATGGAAATGGATAAGAAAAACACAGAACAGTCACTGGAACGCTCACCATCATCTTCTAGAGAGCAGCCTGTAGGGAAGGAAACACTGTCAAATGTAAGGTGGCAAAGGGAAGCTCCCTTTGATTATTGTCTGCAGTTCTGGACCCCACCATTTAAGAAGGGTGTTAAGGTACTTGACTGTGTCCAGAGGAGGGCAACAAAGCTGGTGGAAGGGCTGGAAGACATGTCCTGGGAGGAGCAGCCACGGGCTCTGGGTTTGTCTAGTTTGGAGAAAGGGAGGCTGAGGAACGACCTCATTGCTCTCTACAGCTTCCTGAGGAGGGGAAGCGGAGAGGGAGTTGCTGAGCAATTCACCCTGGGATCCAGTACCAGGATGTGTGAGAATGGCTCAAAGCTGCATGAGAGGAGGTTCAGACTTGACATTAGGAAACATTTCTTTACCAAGAGGGTGGTCAAACACTGGAACAGGCTTCCTAGAGAGGTGGTCAATGACAATGTTTAAGAGGCATTTAGACAATGCCTTTTGTAATATGCTTTAACTTTTGGTCAGCCCTGAAGTGGTCAGGCAGTTGGACTAGATGGTCACCGTAGGTCCCTTCCAGCTGGAACTATTCTATTCTATGCTATTCTACTCTAAAGGACCTTGGAAAACATGAAATGATGTTGAAGGGTAATGCGTTATTCTTGGAATCTAAAATTATTTAGTTTTCTGTTTTTAAGTTAAAGCATGACAAATTAAGCCATTGCATGAAGAGGGAGGTGGAAATATACTGCAGATAAATGTTGAAGGTGTAAAGAAGGGAAAGTCAACCTAAAGGAGTGGTAACTGCAGACAACGTGTGCATAGACATGTCTGAAGGACTGTTTAGGAAAAGTGAAGTTAGGCCTTGTAATAGATGACACAGGAAGATCCACTGAAAGGTAGCAATTATCTAAAGAAAAGAAGCAAATATTTTTTTTTTAAAGTTGAGGATGGGGTTTTTTTGCCAAAAAGTGACATTTCTTGTATTCTGATACTTTGAGTCAACTTTGGTAGCTGTTCTACTATCTGAGAAATAATGAGAGCAAATACCTTGACTTTTTAATTATTTTTTGAGAAGATTTCCAATTAGCAAATTGAAATCCAGATATTTTTTTTTCAACTCTAGCTTGTATATGCATGTTATCAATGAATTCACCATGCAGTAATAATCCTTAAAACAGTATGCTGGAAGGTACATTTCTTTGGAGCCTAAAGTAATTCTTGCACTGCTGTTGCTTCAGAGCTAGCTGTGCTTGTTTCCTAATTTTAGTATCATGGTTAAGTATTACTCATTTCTAGATTCTTGAAGCACATATTAAAAAGATTAAAGTACAGGAAAAATAGGTATGCTTGGTCATAATTATATAGTTCTTTTAGAAGAAGCAAGCATGTCTTTAAAATTATGATAGAATTATGTCATGGTTACATAATAACTTATAAGTGGTACATTTTAATAAAAAGTCTAGGGCACAGAACAGAGCTTCACCCTTTGAAATAGTTTAATACAATGCATATTTTTTGCTTACTGTGTATCACATTTTCAAACTGGACTTTAAGGCAGCAAAAGCCAGGCAGGTCACCAGGTCCAGCTAGGACAAACCTGTCCTGCCTGCTCTGTTTTGGCAATCACACCCCTTGAAAGTACGTCCTCTCAGCTGGGTAGGAACGGGGCATTCCCTCCGGTCTTGTTTCTTTTTTTTTTTCCCCCCAGAAACAATTGAGAGCAAGCAGGGAGGGGAGAGATGAAAACATAAAATGTGTCCTACCTGGTTGTTGAAAGCATTTTGTTTCAGTTTCTAAGGAACCATTGTGAGGGTAAATAGGAAGTTAATTTCCAAAGGTTACTTAGAACTAGGAATTACTTTTTTTTTTTTTCTATGAAATGTCAGTGCCTTAGCCCAGCCCCTAGTTTGGGTTGGTTTTTTGCTTGTTTTTTTAAATTTAGTTTAAAAAAAGCACAGCAGAATACTCACTTCTGATAAACTCTCTGTCCATGTGCACTAAAATATATGTGCATGATCCTGCATAGTCCTCTTAGCCTGCTGACTGGGCCTGCCAACGAGTATTCAATTGATAGCTGGACATGAGCCAGCAGTGTGCGCTGGCAGCCCAGAAGGCCAACCGTACCCTGAGCTGCATCAAGAGAAGCGTGGCCAGCAGGTCAAGGGAGGTGATTCTGCCCCTCTACTCTGCTCTGGTGAGACCTCACCTGGAGTATTGCGTCCAGCTCTGGAGTCCTCAGCACAAGAAGGACATGGATCTGTTGGAGCAGGTCCAGAGGAGGGCCACAAAAAGGATCTGAGAGCTGGAGCACCTCTCCTATGAGGACAGGCTGAGAGAGTTGGGCTTGTTCAGCCTGGAAAAAAGAAGGCTGCGGGGAGACCTGATTACAGCCTTTCAATACCTAAAGGGGGCCTATAGGAAAGATGGGGAAAATCTTTTTAGGAAGGGCCAGCTGTGAGAGGACAAGGGGTAATGGTTTTAAACTGAAGCAGGGTAGGTTTAGACTGGATATAAGGAAGAAATTCTTTACAATGAGGGTAGTGAAACACTGGAACAGGTTGCCCAGAGAGGTGATGGAGGCCCCATCCCTGGAAACATTCAAGACCAGGTTGGATGGGGCTCTGCGCAACCTTATCTAGTTAGTGGTGTCCCTGCTCACTGCAAGGGGGGGTTGGACTAGATGACCTCTAGGGGTCACTTCCAACCCAAAACATTCTATGATTCTATGATGGTGTTCGGTTGCTTAGGGCAGTTTCTAGGCTATGTAAGTGCCTGACCACTACCACTTTGTGTGAGCAGTGCTTCATCTCCTTCCATACACCAGCTGTAGCCTGATGAATTTCTCATACAACTTTGCATTTCTTACATGATGGCTCTTGGGAACACCACTTTTTGACCATGAGATGTAGACATCAGAAGTGATGTTCCATACAGTGCTTGCACACCGATTCCCTCTCCTGACAGCATGCCTAGGCTGGGAGAAATGGTATTGAATTAGTAAGTGTTTTCAGGGCAGCTCTGCATATAATCCTTAACTGCAACTGAAGAAAACTTCAGAAAAAGATAAATCCCTGCTTGCTGGCATCATGCGTTCTGTGAGTCTCAGGACTATATGTCAACTAGACTGTCTTCTGCAGCCAGTCCTTCTCGCCTCTGAGTCTTGCTGCTGAAAGGATCTGCAGTTTAAAAGAGTGCAGGATCTAGAAATACTTGTGCAAAGGAGACAGAATTATTCCATGCAGTTGTTACATATGTAGCTCACTTAGATATGAAGTCTTTTAATTCTCTGTTTTGCACTAGGAAGATGAAGGATCTGAGGCAACCTGTGTTTTTCGATTCATTGCTGTTTGTGTTCCTGTAGTCTACATGGCTTTGTATTACTGCATTCCATGATCTCATTGCTTTCTATACTGAACTCGGGCTCCTAGCTGCTGGCATTAAGTCTTCCTATTTGCCATACGTCATTTAGCTGCTAATCCTTTATGACCTGTGTCTTAGAGGGAGTAGAATCACTGTTTCATTTTTTCTCCTTTTAGAAGTGAACAAGTCCATTTCCATCCTATGGAAGGTAACTTCTGAAAGTGTCTTAAGAATTTGCAGCAGTCCATGAGCTGCTGAGTACAAGAACAACTGCTCTTTTTTAACAGTCAGGTAGAACATTTTTCTGAGTGGCTATGAAGATGAAGCTGCAGTTTGCATAATCAGAAATGTGATTGGGAAAACCCTTGAGGGAACCATAATGGAAATTAAAGCAATATTTTATGTCTAAAACTTCTACCTCTCCCCTCTTTTCTTTCAATATGGAATACAAACCACTATGTTTATACCTGCCATCTTCCACATTTGTGTGAAATTGCACAAAAGGTAGGTATGTTACTTGACCTGTCAAAACGCACATCTAGGGAAGACTTTTTCAGACTGCATTGTAAATTAAAGAAAATTTACATCCCACTACTATTCCATTATCCCATCAGCACTTCGTTGAAGAAGACTATGAAGTAGCTCATCCCTTAGTATAGTGTTCAGATGCAGTTTTAAATCAAGTTTGATTATTAAGGTTATTTTCATGAGCAGATGTTGTGGTTTAACCCCAGTCAGCAACTAAGCACCACCCAGCCACTTGCTTACTCCCCCTGCAGTGGGATGGAGGAGAGAATCAGAAGGGTAAAAGTGGGTTGAGATAAAGACAGTTTAATAAATAAAGCAAAAGCCATGCACCCAAGCAAAGCAAAACAAGGAATTCATTCACTAATTCCCATAGGCAGGCAGGTGTTCAGCCATCTCCAGGAAAGCAGGGCTCCCTCGTGTGTAATGGTTACTTGGGAAGACAAATGCTGTCACTCCAAACGTCCCCCCCTTCCTTCTTCTTCCCCCAGCTTATATATTGAGCATGATGTCATGTGGCATGGGATATCCCTTGGGTCAGTTGGGGTCAGCTGTCCCAACTGTATCCCCCCCAACTTCTTGTGAACCTACTTGCTGGTGGGGTGGTGTGAGAAGCAGGCCTTGACTCTGTAAGCACTGCTCAGCAATAACTAAACCGTACCTCTGTTATCAACACTATTTTCAGCACAAATCCAAAACATAGCCCCATACTAGCTACAGTGAAGAAAATTATCTCTGTCCAAGCCAAAACCAGCACAGCAGACTTGACACATCTCAATGAAAAATGACTGCCTGTTTTATTGGGAGTTGAGTTGAAGGCCTCTGGTGTCTTGGTGCTACTAAGGTGTGTATGACCACCAGGTATTTCAGGTCATGTAGTCCATGTATTTATTTATTATTCTCAGAAGCACTGTGAAAATGGTGCCAAGCTGATGATTGTATGTTAACTTGTTTTATTTCCCAGAGCACACAGATGAATAAACTGGGAATTTTTCAGCAGAACTGAAAATGTGCTTTTTATAGATGTACGTGTATCACTAGCAGCCTATAGTTGCAGTGGAGTTTGGGTTTTTAATAGAAAAGGAGACGTGAACAATGAGATAAGAAATCTCTGTATAGTTGTAATGGGCTATTAGCCCAGCTCATGAGACAGGCATTTTTGTCCTCAAGATTTACAGCAGTGAGTGTTTTTTCATGCTAAGGGAGACAGCAGCTTGAGTTTTTATTTATTTTTTTCCTCATCAAGTGCAGGTCTGTGTTGTTTCTGCTTCTTTCTGTAAGGTTTCAGTATATTTGTAGAAAACATTTGAAAGGCCAGACTTCAGTGTCCCATTCAAAGCATTGGCAGGCAGTGAGTTCAGTTTTGATGTCTTCTTGAAGTCAGCAGTCTGAGGAATTCTGTACCTCAAACGCCGAGCAGAGGGCCTTTCCTTCCCTCCCCCTCCCTCCTCTCCTCTCCCACCTCACAACCCCTGCCCCAACAAACTAATGCCAGGAGCATCCATGATCTTGCTCCCCTTCTGCAGCATTAAGAACAAACTTGCCATCTCTCTCCTCCTCCCCCCACCATTGCACAAAATAGAAGAGGCCAGGTAGGGCACACCCTGAAAACCAGCTGGTGCTACAGTGTTCTTTCCTAAGTAACTCCTGATCTACATACTTGGGAATAATGACCTACCTGACAGAGGATATAAATATTCTCTCCAGCCTGCAGTAAACAGGACATGGATAGGCAGAACAAATCGTCTTCTGTCTGCTTAAAAAACTAAATGACAGAAACACAGCTGAATGTTTAAAGCCTGATTAACTGGGTCTAATTCTCTTTCTGTCTGTCTCTTTCCCCCATGCTTCTGCCTGTAACGTTAAACAGATGTGGAAGTGCAGTAATTCTGGAAGCTCTTGGCTTCACAGTAGCAGCAGAGAGAAGAATCTGGTGATGGATGACATAAGCCAAAAAATGATGACTTTGCTTCTGTTATCTAGGTGAAGATATGCTGTCTCCTCTGTGTTGTTGGTATAGAATGAAACTACTAAGCAGAGCTGTATGAAGCTTTATGGGTTTTGATTTGCAGGGATGAACATAACCCATTTTCTTTTGGCAATTTCATGCATTTTTCAATGCAGTCTCATGTCAAGGTTCATATTCAGTATGCTTCCAGAGCTCAGTCCAAATCACTGCAAATGATATGAAATGATGCATGGCTAACATCTGAAATGCTGAGTTATTTTAAGAAACAGAATATTGCTTTATGAGTAATGGAGAACATGATAGGATAAAATCTCTTCTTTTTCCCATCTCAGTTAGCCTTCAAGACAAGGCAAATCGCAGAGGCAACAGGATTTATAGAACAGTTGGAGACAAATGTTTGCTGTTACTTGAAGGAGGAGACAATAAACTTTGTCCCAGACCGCTTATTCAAGATTATTTTTGTGGGCAATTCAAGTGTTGGAAAGACTTCATTCTTAAGGCGATTTTGTGAAGATCGTTTTTTCCCAGGCACAGCTGCTACTGTAGGTAAGTTTAAGAAACATTATTACTATTATTATTTTTGTTCCCACTGTACTTAACAGCTTCTGCTGAGATCAGGCCCTGTGTTATAAAACAGAAACATACAGATGTTGTAAAAACCATTATCCGAAAGGAGAGTAGGACATGCAAAGTGAGTTCTTCCAAACTGGAAAGAAGATAAATTGAGGAGAGGTTTCAGAACTGAAATCCTGGCAGCACTGAAATAAATCAGAAAAGTCCTATTAATTTCAGTGAAACTAGAATTTCCTTGTAGATCTGACTGTTCTGAAACTGATATCCTGTCCTCTGGACTGCACTGTACTAAACATCCCATCTCCATACCCCATCTCTCTCTCTCTAAGTAATCTGATTTTGTTTTAAAGAGAAAGTAGAATATCTGAATTATGTTTGAAGATTTAGCATTCTACTAAGCACCAAAGAAATATGTTGGACCAGTGTTTTCAAAGCTAAACATTTCAAAGCCTCTGTTGTAATTACATTGCCTGAAGTTGTAAACAAAACTTTTGAAAGTCAGACACATGATCAAGGTACAAAAACTTAAGTATAAGGTAGTGCAATGCAGCTGAATTACTGTAAATGGCCAGATTCATTATTCTTAATCTGTATTTAGGCCTTACTTAATCTGCAGCATGTATGAAATAAAACTTGTTTACAATAGAAGGTATTTAAATTAATGGATTTGTCTTGCATCTGTGACAATCTATGAACATTCAGGTGAGCAGTTGCTGTAGCTCCCTTGACTTACAGGGTAGATGAAGATTCCTAAATTTAAATTTCTGGTGGTATGTTGAGTGTCTAAGTTCACACTGGAGTCAGGGAGGATCTTAGCATAGGGATTTAAATTCATTTTGGCACTATAAAGTATTTTACCTGACTTTAGCTGCTGCTTGAAAGGGAGCAGGTCTCCTGGGTGTCCTGCCAGATTGAAACAGACATTTTGAATACCAAATGGCATCCCAGATAGCACTAGGTGCCTGTGAGCAAACAGCTGAATTCTACCCTGCCATCCTTTCCAACTCAATCCAGTCAGAGGATCCTAGGGACCAATTATCTGACCCTTGGTGCTTACTTCAGGGTGAGCTTAGTCATTTTCTAAACACCTTGTTCTTCATTGACTAGATCTTAATTAACTGTAATGGGAGCTTAAACACCTGTATGCATTTGTCTACATTTAAGAGTCTGGTGCTATGTCCCATCCATGTTGTCTTGTAAATGGCTGATATGCTTCTCTAGACTCTGAGGTCTTACGCAATGTGTGCAATTGTCTGGAGCTTCCAGAGAAAAACCACAGGAATGCGTCTGACCTTTTTATCTTTTGGCTCGTCATCTAGTGTTCTTGCAAATGCAATGGCAAGAAAGTATTTGTCATAGCTTTGATTTAGTCTTCACATCAATGAGTTTCGCCGATGTGGATATATGGCTGGCAAGATACAGACAGTTGAAAAATCAAGTGATCAACGTGGAGAAGTGTTCTCACTGAATTTCTACAAAATAGCTCAAATTTCTCCCCCTGAGATATAAGCAGTGGATATATCCACTGGATACATCCAGATTTCTTAGCTGCCCATTGAAGGAATGTGGACTTGGATGCTTCTTCATTAATGCTAGTGGTAAAATCCCACTGATGTGGGAAATGGCCCCAAAGAACTTGTTGGTGACCTACTGAGGTCCCTTCCAACCTGAATTATTCTACGATTCTGTGATTCTATGATACAGTACAGTGTGATACAAGAAAATGCAGGTTGCCATTAGGAGGAGGCAGTGACTGATTAATCTTTAAGACTCTAATTATTGATATAAATATCCAGAAAAAACTTATATCATCACAGATTAGGGGAATTGGGAGAGGATTAATTTAAAAGTGTAGATAAATTAATTTCTGTCTCACTTCCATTTAGCCACATAAAAGTTAGGGGACTAACCTAACTGCAGTCAGCTTATCTTCTGTGTTCTGAAGAAGGGAGAAGGTTCTCCACGTATTCAGTCCATCTATCTTCAGCATTTATCTTGTGTTCCACTGTCCCCTTAATGTGGTGCCTTGTGTTTTTCCACTAACTGCAGAAGGTGCCTATGTGCTTATTTCAGACTAAGCGCTGAAATTTCAGACAACCGAAGATATACAGCATGAATTCCAGGCTAAATGGCTTAGACTGCTGTGAACTGTCAAATGGACCCTTGACTCATGTGCCCTGATTTGGAAAGTTACTTATCTTACAGCTTATTCAAAATTCAACTACTCTGTTAACATTAAGTATTTTATTACTGAAGAACTTCTGGCAAATAAAAGCTCTTGTTGTTCTCTGATAGTTAGACACTATAGACATGATTTTTAATGTAGTATCTATCTTGTTACCTTTCTGGAATTGTTGCCGTTGGCTGGATCAGGTGATCAAAGATCAAACTGAGCATATAAAGAGACAACCTACCTTGTATTTCTGTTACAGGTGTGGATTACAATGTGAAAACCATCACAGTAGATAATACCCAGGTAGCCTTGCAACTCTGGGATACTGCTGGCCAGGAACGGTGAGAAACATTCTGTTAACGCTGGTAGTCAGCTAAGCAGCACGCAGCTGCTCTCTCACTCCCCTGTCCAGCGAGGTGGGGGAGAGAATCAGAAGGGTGAGAGTGAGGAAACGCATTGGTTGACATAAACACAGTTTAATAATTAAAAACCCCCCACCAAACCACGACCATCAAAAAACAATAAAGAAACAAACCCAAGAAAATCAAGTCATGCAAAAAAACCCCAGTTGCTTACTGAGCAGTGCCCAGCCAGTCCCTGAGCAACTGCAGCCTCAGCCAACCTCTCTCCCCCCAAAATTTTATTGCTAAGCACAACATCATATGGTATGGAATATTCATTTGGTCAGTTGGGGTCAGCTGTCCCAGGTGTGTTCCCCTCCCAACTTCTTGTGCACCCCAGCCTACTCACTGGTGGGGCAGTCTGAGAAGCAGAAAAGGCCCTGACGCTGTGTAAGTGCTGTTGAACAGTAAATAAAATGGTGTGTTACCAACACTCTTTTTAATTAAAAATCCAAAACATAGCCCCATACAAGCTAGTATGATGAAATATAATGCTATTCCAGACAAAGCCAGTACACATTCTAAGGTTTTGCTTTTCATCTGTTTGAAGATTAGTAAGCATGGACCTAATCCTGCTCCTCAGGAGAGGAACAAATACAGGAGTATTCCTAATAGAGCCAGTGAATTCACAGCTTAGATCCTTCCCCAGCAGCAGTAATGTGCTGATTTGGTGCTAAGTGTCCATTGAAAAACTGCCAATCTGTAAAAGAGATTCTTATTAAACCTCTTAATAGTTTAGTACCACACAATTTCTTTATGAGGCAGGCTGATTTTAAAATGTACCTAGGGTTATTTCTAGAACATAAAATGTCTTAATAGTTAAAAAAGGTGGGTTTTTTTTTTCACCAAAACAGTCCCATTGTAGTTGAAGATTTAAAGGCTCAGGAGCAAGCTGTCCCCATGTGCCGTAAGATGAAACAGCGGGGAAGGTGACTAGCCCAGTTGAACAGGGAGCTTTTGCTGGGACTCAGGAAAAAAAGGAGAGTTTACCACTTTTGGAAGAAGGGGCAGGCAACTCAAGAAGAGTACAGGGATCTTGTTAGGTCATGCAGAGAGAAAATTAGAAAGGCAAAAGCCCAGCTAGAACTCAACCTGGCCACTGTTGTAAGAGATAAAAAAATTTTTTTTTACAAATACAGTAACAACAAAAAGAGAGCCAAGGAGAATCTCCATCCTTTACTGGGTGTGGCGGGGGAACACTGACACCAAGGATGAGGGGATTGAGTGTACCCTCAGAAAGTTTGCAGATGACACCAAATTGGACAGGAGTGTCAATCTCCTTGAGGATAGAAAGGCCCTACAGAGGGACCTGGAAGGGCTGGATCAACGGGCCAAGGCCAACTGTATGAAGTTCAGCAAGGCCAAGTGCCAGGTCCTGCACTTTGGTCACAACAAACCCATGCAATGTTACAGGCTTGGGGAAGGGTAGCTGGAAAGCTTCATGGCAGCAAAGGACCTGGGGTTGCGGGTGGACACCCGCCGTCCTGTGAGCCGGCGGTGTGCCCGGGTGGCCAAGAAGGCCAACGGCATCCTGGCTTGTATCAGGAATAGTGTGGCCAGCAGGAGTAGGGAAGTGATCGTACCCCTGTATTCCACACTGGTGAGGCCACATCTCGAATACTGTGTTCAGTTTTGGGCCCCTCACTACAAGAAGGACATGGAGGTGCTGGAACGTGTTCAGAGAAGGGCAACAAAGCAGGTGAAGGGCTCTGGAGCACAGGTCTGATGAGGAGCAGCTGAGGGACCTGGGGTTGTTTAGTCTGGAGGATAGGAGGCTGAGGGGAGACCTTATCACCCTCTACAACTAAGTGAAAGGAGGGTGTAATGAGGTGGGGGTCAGTCTCTTCTCCCTGGTAACAGGTGATAGGATGAGAGGAAATGGCCTCAAGTTGTGCCAGGGCAGGTTTAGATGAGATATTAGGAAAATTTTTTTCACAGAAACGGTTGTTAAGCATTGGAACGGGCTGCCCAGGGAAGTGGTCGAGTCCCCATCCCTGGAGGTATTTAAAAAATGTGTAGATGTGGCACTTTGGGACATGGTTTAGTAGGCATGGTGGTGTTGGACTGATGGTTGGACTTGATGATCTTGGAGGTCTTTTCCAACCTTAATGATTCTTTGATTCTAAGATCTCCAAGTTTCCGTAAGTTTTCAGTGGTAATTTCCTCACTTATTGTGTAGTTTTCCATTACTAAAAGCAAGGATGATAATGATGATCTACGTTTTCTACAGGAAGCTTGGGGAAAAAAAAAACCAAACAGAAATCTAGCTAGCTTTAGGCAGAGCACTTTGTGAGGCGGAAATTTCTGCTCCAAGCTTAAAATGAAAGAGGATGGAAGAAGGTGAAATGTGCAGGTAAATGTCCAGACTAACCCAGAATCAGTTTAAGAAGACAGAGGGAACTTTTCCAAACACTTTTGAAAAACATTTTTTTGCAAAGAATTTATTTGCTGTTATAGTAATGTGTGGTAATAATGTCCTCCATGAATCTTCTGATGAATATGAAAAGGGGTCTGATGAGTCAGGAAGAGTGGGATTGCTTACTACATAATAAGCTTTACCTTTTAAACAGGATCTGCAGTGAAGATCAGTATTACAGCTTCTCCCTTGTCTAGTTGATGGAATTTTAGAACATAGATATAAACCAAATTAATAGAGGCTTAACCCTTACTAAGACTAGATTGGGAGAAATTGTTTGGCAACATCTTCTGGGGAGAGGGGGACGGGGCAGACACAACACGTTACTATAAAATTTTACTTACATTGTCAGATTCCTACTTCTGTTGAAGAGAGCTATAAACAGGTTCTTACTTGTAGGTACCGAAGTATTACCAAGCAGTTTTTCAGAAAAGCTGATGGTGTCATTGTGATGTATGACATAACAGCAAGAGACACGTTCACAGCTGTCAAGCAGTGGCTGATAAGCATCAAGGTAACATGACATAACTTCAAATCTAAACTCTGGTGTTACTATTCTCTACCTTCTTCTGGACAGGGAGTGTTAGCAAGGCAAAGCACAGAGAACAGCATGTTTCTTCTATTGTCATAATTACAGTTTTGTTAGTGATTTTGGTCTGCACAGTTACCAGTAAAGCTGTTTTTAGAATCTCTGTGTCTATGAAAATAATCACAGTTCTAGGGTTTTAAGGACTTAAAAGGAGTGGTGGGGAAAGCCCAGCATGGAGTCCTCTGATCTCTCATAAAGGTTATCCAGCTGATGACTCCCATTGGATCACGACTAGTTCTGGGAGGTGCTTTGGATCAGTGATGATGGTCTGACGATCACTGATCGTCACTATCAGTTTGACAACCAAGTATATAGCTCACAGGAAATTGACTGTGTTGTGAACATGACTTAAAGCTATATTATCTACATTAATGCTATGAAACTCTCTCATGGTAGACAGTTCAACTTCCTGGGGATCACCCTTTCAACCACATGAAAACAAAATCATAGTCCATGCCACTGTTAATTCTCTTTTTTCTCTTGATATATCTCTCTAGCTCACAGACAACATATTGAGAATGCAAGCAGCTGAATTTGCTTGTGGCCAAAAATAAAAATAAAACTGAGGCTGCTGCCATAAAGGACCAAGTCACTAGAGAGAACAAAGTGTGGCTTCCTATTTGCTCACTATTGCTGACTATTGCTACTGAAAAAGTAGGGGACAAACTGGTATGCAACGATCATTTAGTCTGATCTTATTGGGCATGTGTTCTACTATAATACACTGTTTTCCATAATGGCCAATAGGTGGCTTTGCAAATTGAAATTAGGACTCATTCATTTAAATGTTTCCAAACAGGCATAGTTATTCCTCATCTGAGTAGCTCTGCTTAAGTAATACTAGTATGCATTTTGTAAGAACAGGCCTGTATTAAATATATGCTCTTTAACGAATCAGTGATTATTATAGGTCAGTATGGTTATATTCAGTAATAATTCAGTATGCTATAATTCAGCTAGAGGACAATTCCAGGGTTTGATTCAGAAAAATTAAATATTGTGGTCAAAATCTTTTTCTGAGCTGTAATAGTTCACTCATCTTTATTGACTAATTTTGTTTGCTACAAACTATTGCTAAGTTGAAGACATACAGCCAAGTCCATTTACTGCTGCAGCATTCACCCCACTTTATGAATGTACTCATTGTGATAATTCTAACCATTTTCAGGATGAATTTTGATTCATGCCTATTCTGTGTATTTTGGGGGGCCTATTCTGTGTATCTCTCCACTTTGTGTAGTTTATTTGGTATAATTGTACCCAGATGTTGTCATTATTTTGCTGTCCATGTAATTAGAAAAGCAGTGGCTATAAACATGCGATGTCAGAGCCTGTGTAGCATGGTAGTTTTCTCTCTCCCATTTTAATATAGTCTGATGAGCTTCTGTGCTGGTATTAAAAAATGCCAAATTAGTGCAATCTGTCTTTTTCATGCCTTTTATCCAACTTTAATTCCTGACATGTTTGTGAGTAAAGTGGCACATACCTGGTTAATACGTGATGTCTTGTTGCAGTGTGACATTTGTTAGTTTATATCCTCTTGATCTGTGATTTTTTAAATACAATGCATCAGTTGGCATTTATTATTTGTTCTGCAGGAGACAACCGGGGAGAATGTACCTGTGCTTTTGTTGGGTAATAAAACTGATAATGAAAAGGAACGTGAGGTCCCTATGGGAATGGGAGAACATCTTGCTAAGGTACCATAATAGAGGGGAACCCCTTACAAAACTTGAAGGTGAAGGTTTCAAAATGGAGCCTGAATGTGCCTAAATTCATAAAAACACAGATTAATTTTAATCAGACAAGCATTTTTATGCATTCAGAACCCCATCACACTCATCAGTTCAGCTCTCAGTGATGTAAATGCTGTTAATTATAGTAGTTATAAAAGTGTCTAGATGAAAAAAGGAGTGTTGCAAAAAATATTTAAGAATTCATTCTCACTGTCTCCCTCCTCTCCCCCCCCCCTTTTCTTTGTTCTCTCTATTTCCCCCCTCCTTTCTCTTTTTCTCTCTCTTTTTTTTCTCTTTTCTCTGTGGATGGATTCTTAACAGAGACATAATTTGGGGACCTTTTTTCCCTCCTACCTCCTGTAAAACCATTCCTATGGTAGGAGTAGAAAACATTTCTTTTTAGTAACTTTTCATCAAGGACATAAAATCAATAGTGGTAACAATCTGCATCAACCATAGCACTGGTGAACCATGGGCCATAATTTAAGCATTAAGGCACTGCAAAAATACTTGTTTTATGTTCCTGTGTACCATGCCAGTCAATTTTTCTTTTGAGTTTCTCTATGCAATGCATATAGTTTGAAAGCCAATGCCTCCAGAATATTAATTTATTTAGAAGTAAGTCATCCCAATATTCCTGAGAAATTAACTGAGTTGGTAGGAATTTACCTAAATGCTGGATTTCACATAACTACTTGTTTCTCCTTTGAAAATAGATTTACAGCTCTGCTTGCTGGTAACCAAAATGGATATTTTCAAAATTTGAAATGCAGCTGAATTGTTCTTGGTTTATAGGGAAGATTGCTGGTAGGCACTTCTCTATAACTGAAAGAATTAGGGTCAGATCTCTTTTTGTCTTATTTTCATTATTTAGCCCTTTACAAGCATACCTCTGTATTCACATTTGTCTCCCATTATTTTGGTTTTATAGGGGAGCAATATCAGTCCTCAGCTTCATGCCTCAAAGGTTCTCCCTTTTGGAAATCTGCTTTATTTTCTTGTATGCATGGAAATGCAGATAGTTTTGAGACCCTGGAGGCTAGCAGGGACTTCAGGGTGTAACATCGAAACCTTCTGTGAAAACACATAAATGCTAAATGGACAGAGTAGGTGTCTTACTCTCTTAAAAATTATGCTAGTAAACCAAAGATGAATCATTCTAATATATAGAAGTCACAGCCCACCAGGCCATTAATTCTAACATGTCATGCAAGAAAATAAAATGTTTTGCATAAGTAAAACAAAGAAAGTTGTAAAATTAAAGATGGTTATAATCAAATGAATGGATCTGAATGACTCATTTGGATGTTTGGATGTGCTGCCTGAGGTAGCTAGGGGAAGGACAATGGGTTAGTTGAAAAGCAGCATAGATACAATTAAATGATAACAAATTGCTTGCTGAGCTAATAATAACAATGAATTTCAATGAAATACTAGTTCTTGCTAAACAGCCATGCAATTCCTATGAAACCACATACCACTGTATCTATTAATGAATGCAATTGAGTTATTTTGTGAATAATCCCATGAATTACTCACAAATGACCCAAATGCACAGGACTAGATTCTGGCCTGATAGAAATATGTATAGCCATATTTGGTGAAAACAATCGTGAACCTGTTCTTCTGCAGAAAAAAGAACCAGATTAGCCTGTTGACTCTGAAGTTCAACAGTTTTTATGGATGGTTTCAGTGTCTTACAGGATGGGATCCTTTTTACCTAGTTTTTTCTATAGTCAGAGAGGAGTGTGTACTTTCAGAAGGCATTCCAGCCCAGCTGTATTAACTCTTACTTTGCTTCAGTCCCACATCTTACAAGTCAGTGTACTACAAATTCGGTCAGAAACCCAAGAGCTCCCATTATAATGGATGTGCCACATAACTTCCATGCAAGGCAGGCAGCATGGTTCATTGTTAAAAGGAAGAATGGCAGCCTGAAGGGAAGGCAGCCTCAATTCCTTGTCATTTGAGAAGACTGGTAGTTGCATTGTGTGTGTGATACCCTGGGAAAGGGGGAACAGAATGAGGATGGGGATTCTGGAAGGCATCATTGGGAACAACAAGGCTGTGATGAAGCTGATCTGTAATTGGATGAATTAAAGAGCAAACATCATGATGGTAAGAAGAATTTTGCACTACTGGCTTTGCAGGGAGAAACAGCAGAAATAAACCAAAATGTTCACATGCAGGACAAGAATGACCTGATGGAAAACATCTAAAACTCTCTTGATAGAGCTACTGGGAATATAAAGAAAAAAAGAGGGAAAGATAAAAGAAAAGGGGGGGGGGGGGGGGGGGGAGAGCTGTAGGGCATTGGTTTGACCTCTTTAGCAGAGGATCCAGAAGGAAAACTCCATTTAACAAATTTCTGTTTATCTTAGCTTGATCCACTGATCAAAAGTTCGCATGAGCACAACAACAATACAGAGAGTATTCAGATCATATTGTGAGCATCCAGGAACAGCCAATGTCCTATTCGAGTGGATTAGTGTAACCACTGCCAATTATTTAAATAAAATGGCTTATATAGGTGCTGCTCAGGTATTCAGGCAGCATGATATTATTTTGGCCCTGCACACACTTACTGAGTGATCTTAAATGGGTCAATAAATCCTTCTCTCTCTCTGTTCCTCAACTATAAAATAAGATAATAATGCCTTTGTCTGCCTTGACTTTGCAGACTGTGTGCTTCATGGGATGAGGACTGTTACTCTATGTTCATACAGTGTCTCCTTTATCAACCTGTCAGTGCCATTGTTATACAAATACTGCTAATGAGGGAGCTGTTCTTCTCAGAGTGATGCTACTTTACAGGACAGAAATTGCCTAGCTCCCTCTGGTAATCCTTCATTTTCCTGCCTGTTCTTTAGATGTCTGCTGATTTGTATGTCACTTTTTAAAATGAAGTAATTGCCCGTGGTCTCCCAGGTGCGATGGCTAATTCCTGGATGGAGATGGGTGGCATTTCCTGGCTTATTAATTATATATGTCATGCCTTCTGCTACTTTGTTCTCATAGCATGTGTATGCTATCAATTAAAGTTCCCTCTCTGACTCAAGGACTGACACTTTGCAATTTCAGGCCTTTCCAGAGAAGGACCTGTTTAGCAGATTGAGTTTAAATTGTTATCTTTCACCAGTAAGAATTTGCCCTACCCATGGACTTTGTTGAAAATCCATTCAGATTCATGCTAGCATAAATGATGTCATCACTGAGAGTTCTTCAGTGAAATTATGTTGTATGTGGGGAAGATTTAGAAGTAGTATTGCTCACTGCTTGACTGGCATAAAGTAGATAGATACTGACCACAGTAGGTTTTCTATTAGAGATCTGATCAGCTGAGCAGAAAAAAGGGGTGTAAATTTTATTTCAAACTTCTGTTTGCATGGTCAAATTTTATCTCAAAACATTTCAAAGGAAAGCAAGAGAATCATAGGTTTACATCATTGTAAATATTATACAGAACACTGTTTTAAAAAAAAACAATAAAATATCCATCCAACACTAACATTGCCTGATTTCTTCCCTTCTCTGCTCTTCTGTGCTTACCTGGCCACCCAGAAACTACTACAAGTGGTTCAGTCCTGATATTAGGACAAACCATATAAACTTTGACAACATATTTAAAACTGACATTTGCTAACACTGAAGCATTTTTTAGAGCTGCTAAAATAAGCTACCACATTGATGAAACTTATTTTCCCCACCTTTTGTCTTTGAAATTTTGTGAAGATGATAAAAATTTCAAAAAGCTGTGCAATTTTGGAAGCATGGTATATTTAAAAAAAACCAAACTAAAACTGAAATACCTCGTCATTTTAATGGGAACTTTCGAAAACTGAATTTTAAGTGTCTTATGAAGAGTGGTTAAATAAGTACAAATGCACAATTAATAGCAAACAAATGAAAATACGCAGACATGTGATTGTCATTCCCTAAGCTACTGACTTATTTATTTGAATTTTAAGCTACTGTCATAGATAGCAATAAGACACATAGAAAAGTGGAAAGTGAACAGACAGTTGAAATCTGGATGGGTAAAAAGGTCATGTAGTAGCACCACAGAGGCAATGTAGGTGATCTTCAATGTGTGAACTTGTGAAATTTGTGAAAGTGGTCAGATGTCTATGTTGGAGAGCATAATCTGTCATTCCCTCTCAAACTTCTCTTGCCATCACAGCTTCCAGGTCAGGCTTTTGTGCAAATGATCTCTTGCATTTGCATTTATTCTGATAAGGCTTCAGCTGAAGTGAGAAGGCTTCAGCTGAAGTGCTGAGAACGTCTCCAGGGCCTCATCATTTAACTGCAAAGCTCCCAGGGGCTACAAAACCAAAGGTGCAAGCTGACTGTAAAAGAAGGTGCAGAAATATTTCACAAGTACAAAAAGTGAAATAGAATTAATTTGTTATTTTTTGCTGCGGTCTTTAACTGGTCTTTTGCTGGAAGACATTGATCTCAAACTGTTGATACAGAAACACTGCTGCTGAAGCTTTCCAAGATTTAAAAAAAAAAAAAAAAAGTCACTGGAATTATTTTCACTACTTTGTCTTGTACTAATTGCCTCATCATCACAAGGAAAGTTGACAAGACTTCAGTACCTTACAAGGCATGTTTGCATTTGAGCCTTTGAGAGATCAAGCAAAAGCCATTGTATAGAACAAATATGTCCTAAGAAATGCATATAGTTGTTGTTTGGGAGGCACACTTGGATTTCTTTTGTTACTCTTTACCATTAGCTTTAGAATTAAATCATAATTCTGTTTCTTTATTTGCATATTTCAGTATATCTGTGTTGCTTTTTTAAAGCTGGAGTGAGATATTGTGCAAAATTAATTGAAATGGTCTTTCTGTTTGATTCTAGGATTACAATTTAATTTTCTATGAATGCAGTGCATATTCTGGGTACAATACCAAAAAGTCTGTGCTTCACTTAGCTAGGTAAGAAGAAAGCACAAATTATGAGTTCTGTATATGCCTGACTTCCCTGTCACTGACGACAGAGTGAATTCTGTTTGTTAAATTAGTTTGATAGGAAGTTATCCGTGATGAAATATTTGTCCCTTTTACACTCATCTGTAGCCTGACCCTGTTGCTCCAACTGAGCAATTGCTCGGGTTGGACGGGGCTCTGAGCAACCTGATCTAGTTAGCGGTGTCCCTGCTCCTGCAGGGGGGTTGGACTAGATGACCTCTAGGGGTTCCTTCCAACCCAAAACATTCTATGATTCTATGATTCGTGAAGAGTCCTGTGTAAGCTATAGGCCCAGAAACACCTGAATTGTTGCTAGGAAAGCTGAGGGCCTGTGACGTTGTGACAGTTCTTGCAGAAAGTTCTTGGAGGTTTGGAGAAATATGCTTTGAAATGAATGCTGCTGACTCCTTGCAGCAGAATATTGGATGAGCTGCTTTCTTCCCTCTGCTCATTACAGCTCAAATTCTGCTGTCTGCCTGGGGGCTGGGAGTGAGGGAGAGGTGGATTTCTGAATTTATATAAAGGCTAAGGGTAAAAATACAGGTAAATCTGTCCCCTGTGACCTACTTAGAGAGGTGAAAACACTGGTAATGAATTGGCACATCTTTAATATAGTTGCTGAAGTTAGTGAAATTTTGTGAATGCATCAGGTAATTGATAAATGTCTAGGTAGCCAGATGTGGTTTTGTTTTGCTCCAGCCTCAAAAAGAACAAATGAAAGTCACTGTCTCTGTAATATACAATAAATGCTAACAATCAGCACCAACTACATTTTTCTAACTAAATGAACAAAGGTGATTTTGTGATGGAGCTACCATAATTGTACTTTTTTGTTTGTTAGTTCACAAAATTCTGTCATTTTCTGTTAATCTCTGGACAATTTTATAGGCTTGAGGGAAATGTTTTTTGTTTTCATCTCTTATCAGTATTATCAATTTATTTCTCAAAAGTATTGTTTCTTTTCCCCAGGATTTTAAAGGAACATGAAGATAAAGTGAAAGAGAAAACCATTGAGCTTCAATCTGTTATGAATAAAAAGTCTTGCTGCATCAGGCCATAAAATGCCGGAGCATACATTTATACAACACTACATGGCACCATCAGATTTGCTTTATCTTCCAAATATTTCTTCTGCTGTGTTCTGAGTGTAGGTGTAAGTGAACCTTAATATCCTTGCGTGCTCTGATCTTCACTTTCACAAATATTGTCTTTAGTTATTTGACAATGTCTTTGGGGCAGTAACAGTCTTTTATTCTGTTTGACACCTAACACTACAGAATCGTGCTTTGTGGTGAGGCTTGTAGAAGCTGCCACATTATTAATAATAAGTACTTTTATAGGAAGAAAACTACTTGGAATATGAAGTAAATTCTTACTGGTGTGGATGACCTATATGCTGAATACTGTTTATTTCAGTGCTCTTTAGATACTGATTTTGTGCTGACCTTTGTTACACTTTTTATAAAAATTGAAATAGGTAGCTGGTGAGTTGTTTAAAAGCAACACACCAGCAATTGCAAAGTATAAGGTGGTATTTTAAAGCTTAGTGTAAAATATACATGAACAAAGGATGGAAGTACTATGAAGATTTTCATAAGTAGCATTAACTCATTTATACTACACATTGTTGCATATAGGTCCTTGATAAGAAACCCTTCCTCCCACTTAGATCTGATGAATTAGGTATGTTTAGACAGGCTAGTGAGATACCATACAGGCTTGCCTGAGCTGTTGCCAAAGAAGCTGGCATGTTTCCATGGTGAGGTGGTGCAATGCAAATATCCAGCTTAGTTTCCAGAAACAGTAAAGTCAGTGCTTTACTCTGGCTTGTTAGCATTTCACTTAGTTTGCAAGGCTGATTGCTTTGTGTTGCAGAGCTTGCTCTAAACCTCTGTTTGGTTATGGTGTCCCAAAGTAATCTGTAGCCAACTTGAACATTCAAAGCAATTCACTGTCATTAGTGCTGGTTGAAAACATAGGAAGCTCATTTCACTGGTATAGTTGGTTGTAGTACAAAGCATATTATAGTGACTGAACAGCTCTTTGTCTCCAAAAGTCTGTCATAGAAGGTTTCGTGCCAGATGTTGGAGACAGAATTTTCAGAAATAGTAGATCTTCTTTTGAAGAAGATTTTGAGACACTTTCCAGCATTAAAGGAGTGAAAAATCTCAGCAAAATCCAGTGAGATACTGCTCTCTTTAGCAATGTTAAGAAAAAATTCCTCCTCATGTACCTAAATATGTGACTGATTTTTCAAAAGTATCTGCCACACAGCATTTCCCTCTGGTTTAACTAAGGCCTGATACCACTGAGTTACAGTGTTTGAGAAATCAAACCCATAGGGACATGTTTTAGAAAATCATGGCCCACCATAGGTCATAAGAAACCCAAATGTCACCATTACTTTTAGAAGCCTTTGTAGAATATAAATGAAAATAAGAAACTTGAGAGTGGGCCACTGAGACAGCATATGATCAACAATTATTCCTGTTGGCATTTGTCTTAACTGCATGCAGCTGTTGTGGTAAGCGTTCAAGAATGATGGTAAGCTTGTTGGAAAAGTGGAACCCGTGGCATAATTAATTTCATTGAAATATCAAGGAAAACTACGTTTTATTGTATGAGACTGTTACAGACATTATGTTTTCAATCCATTTTCAGAAAAGTTTAAAAAAAGTTAATTTAAATTTGAATAATGAATCAATTTGAAACTAAAGCTGAAAGTTAACCACTAGCTTAATTAGTAACTGTATTGTGGGATAAAAATTTAATCAGTAATTAATTGTGCTCTTGGGATTTCGGTCTGATCAAAAGTATTTTCTAGTGCCAAGAACTATAAGATAGAGGTTTGCAAACTTTCTCCTACAGCAATTCCTATATCTCAAATGCCCTTTCCCTGTCAAACAGAATAACTGGGATTTTCATTATATAAGGTGATATGCGGACACAGACACCACAATCTGTAAGATTGTAAGTAGGTATGTTTATTCAGCGCTGGGCAGCACGGGGGGTAGTCCCACCAAAGTCATGCGCATCTCCACGTGGCAACTTGCCCTGTTTATATGTAGCAAAGTGCTACATATGCATGAAGTTTCCCAATAGCCTATACATATGCATAACCTGTCCCCGCTTTTTATTAAAATTAGCTTCATGAGGTCATTTCCATAAGTCCCTCCTGACTGTGCTTGCTCAGTGCCTCCTTGTGGGGTCGTCGGGGGTCGTGGGGATGAAGGCTGATGGCTCCTCTTCGTCACCACTAGTAACCCCTTGTTCTTGCGCAGACCCAGTTGCTTCTTTGCTCTTGCCCAAACTGCAGGGTGTTCTTATCAAGAACTGTCCTTCGTAAGGAGACTCTTCCTGCGTCAGTTAGTTCGCACAATAGTTAGCAAAACATTTGAGCACTATCTATTAATTTGATTCTCTGGGCTATGCAGCAATCTAGACAATTATTGCGCAGCATCTTATCTACTAAGATTCCCTTAACCCCTTCTCTCAGTTATTTCTTTGGGTGTTTTAACAGTAGTCAACACACTTTTCCTCGTTCCAGGGCCATTGTCATAGAAGACTGAAATCTGTCTGTGAAACTAAGGAATTTATCCCATTTATTATGTAATTTATTATAATTTTTTAAGAAACACCAAGGAAATGAATTGAAACAGCATTGTGAGATACTGCAGTTCTTGTCTCAAATATATGTTTGGTAACTTCAGGAAAGAACTTGAAACCCGAGTTGCTTTAAATGGACCTGAATTTCAAGATGCTTTGTCAAAAGAAGTGGCTAAAGAGGAGCAGAGGCATGAGCAGCGTGTTAAAGAATTTCAGGAGAAAATTAATATGTTAAACCAGAAGTACAAAGAGTTAGAAGATGAATTTCGTTTAGCTTTAACTATTGAAGCAAAAAGGTATAAAGAGGTAAGACTAAGAGAACATTTCATCTCAAACTAGGTGGAGCTGTAGTTCTCTTAAACGTGTTGGGCTTGGGGTTTTTTTGTTTTATTTTTTTACTTGGGGGTTTTTTTTGATCCTTAAGGTCTTTGCTCCAAGGATTCATCTAAAAATACTGGTAGTAAGCTTTGAAATATTAGTAATTAGAACACAGACACCAAATGCCAAGTCAGTACTTGCAAAACCCAGCATTTTTGTTCATAAGTAAAAGTTAATCAAAAGAAATTAGAAAAACTTCTATCTGGTGGTGTTAATTTCCTCTTAAAAGATGTTGACCTTCTACTAGAATATATTCAATTATTGTAAAAACTCTTGGTGTTTTGGTAAGGTTATGGTTACATATGTACTTGTGTATTTATTACTAAAGTTCCCTATTGCTTAACTTTTCAAAATTGAATTTTGGATATGCGTTTTGAAATCCAAATTCAAAACTTGCTTAGATATGGCTAGTGTTCATATTAGTTTATATGTTAAGTGAAATAAAATTTTAAATGCTTTACTGTCACTTAAACTTGGTTTCCTTCATTTTAAATCAGTTGGATACATGGGAGAAGAGGGGAAAGAAAAGACTCTTTTCACACTTCAAATCTTTCTCTTACAAGGAAAAAAAGAAGAGAATTAAAATCTGGAAAGAAGAACTTTAAGTTAATGTTAATCTTAACAATGAGGTTAAATCAAGGCATTGTTTTCATTTCCCAAGCTATGGTTTTTCTGCTCTGCTTCTCATCCACCCATTAATTTTTTTTCCCAGGTTGGGTTTTTCTTTTTTGTTGGGTTGTGGTTTTTTTTGTTTGTTTTGGTTTGGTTTTGGTTTTTTACAAAATTTGTAGCTGAGTAGAATCAGGTTTTTTGAGTTGAAGTATCACCAACAAACTGGTAGAAAACCAGTTTCAGATATTCACTAATTTCACGTGCTGTTGATGAACATCTATTTCTTTCTTTATTTGAAATGCAAATGTCATTTGTGTGTGTGTATACACACTTTTTCCAAATGTTAGCATTTCTCAAGTCTTGTCTCATAAAACTTTAGGTCAAAGAGGATTTTGACCATGTTGCTGCTGATCTCGTTGAACATAAACAAGCTCTCTTTGAGTTTGAACAAAAGGAAAAAGAGATGGCAAGTCTGATCCAAGACATGACAAGTATAGTGGAAGAACAGAAAGCAAAGATTTCAGAATTAACAAAATCAAATGAAGAAGCTACAGCAAACCTAAAGGTACTAGTTTCAAAACATTTCAACTGCATGTATGATTTTTTTTTTGGTAATATTTTATCTACAGAATTAACAATTCCATAGAAGATAGATTGACTGAAAGATGCGTGTTTCCTGTTGCACTAAAACCTAGTATTCTGCATCAGCCTTTAGTCTTGCATCTTGCACTTCTATTTCTCACAAACACTGCTCCCTGTATAGCAAAATCTGGATTTGTTCATGCCTTCAGAAGTGCACTCCTTGCCTTGTGAGCGCTAACCAGTTTGTATATAATCAAGTGGTCACTCTAAACTGAGATTAAAAACCTACATTGAATTTACAAAGGGTCAGGGCTGTTAAAGTAATGGAATATGGTTCTGCAGTGGTCACTGTACATGAAGTAAAAATGAAATTGAACAAATGATCAATTGTAGTTACTAGCAGCTTAATATCTCTGAGAGTTGCATAAAATTAGCAGTATTAGTCATTATCTACTAATTTTCTAATTTTGGTGTTAAATACTGTGGGCACAGTTGCTTTATTTTACACCACTGATCGCCATATGGTAACATTATAGTACTGTGTTGTCCATAAATAATTCTTAAAAGTCTTAGGAATGTAACTTTTAAACGGTTGTGTGACCCAGTCCATGTATGTATCCAGTCCATTGTTACAAACTCCTGTGCAGTACAATCCCTGCACAGCTGTTTCTAATC